GCTTGGGACGGATGCCGTGGTTTTTGGTGAGGGAAGGAACTGATGAGAATTGTCAGAATTGTGCATTAGAATGGGCACAGCCTGCTTGATTTATTAGCACATTTTCTGCTGCAGTCAGCGTACAAGTTTAGTATGTGAGTGGAAGGGTAGTTCTTTGTAATGCCAACTTTTGAGAAATTTTTTATAAATTGATTTGGAAAAAATGGTTGTAATGTTAGCAGTGATTAGCTTAAGAATTCACAGTTTTCATTCTGATACTGTTTGCAAAGCAGACGCCAACGGAATGAGAAAGTGAGCTTGAAAAATCAGCGTATTAAAAAAGAAATGCATTGCATGGCAGTGGTGTGCACCACGCTAACTTGCGAATAAGAAGCATGTTTGTGGAAGGGGCGACATAGCGAGAATGTCGATTTGCATTACTGTTTCTGACCGAAAATTGTAGCTTGAAAGATTGCTGAGTGGTGCAAGCAGCTGAACAGCATCGCCAGGGTACGCAAAATATTACCACGAAAGGAGCACGCTTGGCTCTCAGTCAGGATTGCTGACATTCTTATGCGCAGCTGGGTTCACTTACAGAAACGGAGAAAGGGCGCTTCGCAGCAAGAATTATCGGGCGTTGGATTCTAGGAGTATTTGTCGATAACATCTTTAGCGAAACACCTCTTCAAATAACTAATTAACATGCCATCGTTTTGATTCGGCGAGAAGCTAAAATCTACCGAGTGCTGTATGCATATTTTGCAACGAACTAACGGATGTCATACATCGATTGATTTGACCGCCCAGGCAAGAAGCATGTGATCAGATGCTTGCCGAAGAGATAAGCGGCAAGCTTAGTGGATGGGCAGGTAGAAAGCGCGGAAACCATGACTTGTGAGTCTAACTGTGCGTGGTGTGTGATTCGATCTTCGATGCTGGTGTACTAATAATTGATGCGGCCATGATGATAAGGCGTGCAGCTGTATTACATTCATTTTTTTTAAAGATTCTTTGTATTTTACAGGTGGTACGTCGAGAAGATGTTTGATTTCGAGAACATCGGTTTCACGCATGCCAGCAACGGCATCAAGTATTTGGTATGTGCGAACTGCGAGGAAGGTCCTGTTGGTTATGTGTGCCCAACAACCAAAGCTCATTTTGTTGCTGTATGTCGCGTTAGGCAGGAATAGATGCTGCCCTACATTTGGCTAATGGCTATTATGACTGTATGCTGCAAAATTTTGCTAGCGATTTTTTGAATCTACGCTTCACGTAACTGTTTCGTTGTTGTGTTTTCGTTTTAATTGTACTCCACGTATTTTCACCGTGATCGAGCTGCCCTTGACATGCTGACGTGATCAGTCGGTAGCCGTTCAGATTTTGTTTTTTTTTTTTTGTCGACGAGTGACTGCTAGCAAAGCAGCAGATTTGATGCTTGGGCGTTTGTGTCCCATCGAAAACTTTTTAAATTGAAATTCGTTCTTTGCTTTAACATTGTTCATTGAACTAACAGTTACCGCATCGTGTCTGTTACTGCTGCCACTCATGTAGTGTTGCGTCACGTTCAGTGCAAACATTTCACTTGGGATGGTTTTTTGTTTGTCGGAATTGATCATAGTCATCATCAGTCTTGGGAAGAATATGTGCAAATAGAATAATGTTTCTTTAAAAGGAATGCTTTTTCTACTTTTATTCTTTGCATTTTTCTATGTTCCATGCTACAGTTATTTTCCAGTTTGAGATTTGAAGGATTCTCAGTCCTCGTTTGTTCTCTGTTTGCGAAATGGTACGTAACAACATATGTTAGTATGTTTCCATGCGTTCACTTCGGTAAATAAATCTGGAAGTTCCGTTGGTGTTTTTTTCTTTTCAGATTTGGTCTATTCTCACAGTTTTATTTGCACTGTTTGTTAGCTTTTTTTTTGGTCTTGTTACTGTCTTCATTTATGATTATTTAGAGCCGAAGGAAACGTACTTTTATTGATAGAGGAATTTTTCATGGCGACCGAACGTGGGGTCCCTAATGTAATTTCTTTTTGTTATCGTTTTGAAAGTTTTTTACACCTTTTTGTTATCTTTTTCCCGTTCTTATGCAGTAGATTTGGAAACTGTTTGCTTGCTTGCTTTGGCCTGTAAAATGGACTAATTCTTTTGCTGAATATTTTTTCAATCAGTTAATGCGTCCCACATTGAGTTGATTCATTGCAGGTTGTAAGCTCAAGTGTTGAAGAGCCACTGGATTTGGTGCGATTGAGCTTAGATGAACGAATTTACATAAAAATGCGCAACGACCGTGAGGTTTGTTTATTCCTATTGTGTTAAGAACACTGTGACTGCCATGTTGGCGCTTCGAAAATGATGCCGAATTTTGATTTTTAGTTGATGCGGTTTGTGCTAACATATAGAAATTGTAGACGATGTGATGATTTTCCGTGATTAAGTATAAACAGGCAACAACGGTTTGAGAAAGAATCATGATCCGCATCAGTGATACTACGGCGTTAGCAGCAAAGATTAAAAAAAAATAAAGATGCGAAATGTAGTATCTCTTCTTTCTGTCAGTTAAAAATGACCTGGAAAGC